TACATCCTGACCTCGTTCATTTTGTTGCTGAATGGTGCTCTGTAAAGTATGCATTTTATGTCAAAGATATTATGGACTCCATAGACAAGAAAGTTCATGAGAAATTAGATGAAGAAGAACTTGAAGATACAGTAGAGAATGCTAAACCTTTGTTTGAAGAAGAAGTTGGAAAAATGTGCGAAAAACAATTAGAACATGAACGTGAGTTATGTTATGGTTATAGAGATTCTCCATACGAACTAGACCAATGGGAACAAGAAAATTTAAAGAGAGAATTTAGAGAATATGAACTCGCTAAGATAGCATTAGAAGCTGCAGAAAAGAAGTTAAAAGCTTGGGGTCGTTTTGTACAAAAATATTGTGAGTAAATGAACCATTTATTTTTATTGAATTCACCAAAAATAATTTTTAGGGTAGATGGTTAGATCTAACCTCATTTCTAACCTCATGACATTTTGACAACAACACAGGAGGAAGGCAGTTATGACTTATTTTTGAAGAACTGAAGGTGCTACCATGTTACCATGTGCTACCAGGTCATTTAACTTTTCTGAAAAAATGAGACAACATGACATTTTGACAACAACACAGGAGGAAGGCAGTTATGACTTATTTTTGAAGAACTGAAGGTGCTACCATGTTACCATGTGCTACCAGGTCATTTAACTTTTCTGAAAAAGTGTGACAACATGACATTTTGACAACAACACAGGAGGAAGGCAGTTATGACTTATTTTTGAAGAACTGAAGGTGCTACCATGTTACCATGTGCTACCAGGTCATTTAACTTTTCTGAAAAAATGAGACAACATGACATTTTGACAACAACACAGGAGGAAGGTAGTTATGACTTATTTTTGAAGAACTGAAGGTGCTACCATGTTACCATGTGCTACCAGGTCATTTAACTTTTCTGAAAAAGTGTGACAACATGACATTTTGACAACAGTCCTGGAAATATGATGCAGTCCAAAAATAAAGTTAGTTTTAAAATTATTTTTATTTTTTTATTTCTATATAAATGACGGCAACAAACAACAACAGCAACTATATCGTTTCTGATGAAAAAGTTATTGATTCATTAGTTGAGGAATTAGTTGTGGCAGAAACTAAAACCCTCAACGAAAGAATTGGTGAAAACATGATTGATTTACATAACTACCTCAAACATGATGGAGGAAGAGGAAGGAAAACTGGTACAGCTTTATTAGTAAATAAAATTTCAAATTTAACGATTATAGATGTTGATATCAATAAATCATACAATGATGAACTTAAAGAAACAGTTAGAAAAGACATTTTATCAAAACTTTCGGATAAAGATGTTATCGTTAAAACTGCATCAGGAGGTCTTCACATTTATTGCAACACTAATTTCTTCTATTCAACCTCGAACAGAATGATTAAATGTTATTCCTGCAATGATTATGATATTGATATCATGACTTCTATTGATGATTCAAAGCGTTCTTTAGTGGTTATGGCTGATTCAAGAGTTCGCAAGAATGCAACAGAACCAATCAATACATACTCATTCATTCGTGGAAGTTATGATTCAACATTAACCAGAACAGTGAATGATATATTAAATGATTTGAATATTAAGGTAAGAGTTGAACAAAAGAACGAAGAAATAAAGACTATCATGAATGAAAACAAAGATGTAAACATTGACGATAAACTTGCTCAGAGCATAGTTGATGGCATCTGTGATTTTGAAGTACATAATGATGGTGGAAACATGAATTTAGAAAAAGAAATAACATTATTCACACTGTTTCAAGCTATTAATTCGTTACCTAATCATTTAATTAATGAAGCATACGATAACGTTTATAACTTCTGCAATTTAACAGAAAATGCAAAAAGTAATTTTGAAAAAGCACGTAGTAGATATGCATATTTAATGACTTCTCCATTTGTTTTGGTGAAGATTCTAAAACTATATCAAAAGGAATATTATGATGAATACGTTTTACCTTTATTACGTAAGCCAAAAATAACATTTGATATAAAACTTGATGACTCGTTTTTGATAACAGATATTAGACGCAAGGCTGAAAAACATCAGTATAAAAACAGTTCTGAAGTAATTGAGGATTTATCACGTGTAATCCGTTTTGTAGATTGTGGAAACAAATATTTCATTCAAAAGGACTATAATATCCACGACAAAATGAATCAAATATCATTCGTTCTTCAATCAAACATGAAAGAGTCACTCAAAATGATTAAATTATTTAAAGAAGAAGGTAAAACAATAACAGCATGGGACGTACTACTAAATCAATTATCCTCATTAACCGTTAAGGGTGTTTGCTTTAAATCTGATTCCCCAGATGTTTTCTCAACGTTTCAGGGTTATAAATACAACATTCTCGAAAAACCAGATTACTCAAAAATTGAGATGTTTATGAATTTCATTAAAGAAGCCATTTGTGATAATAACGATGAAGTGTATAAATACCTTCTCGGCTGGATTGCATCAATGATTCAACATCCAGGAATCAAGAATGAAACAGCAATTATTTTGAAAGGACTTCAGGGAACAGGTAAAAACAGATTCACAGACATTATTTCTGAACTTCTCGCCGGTTATTCATGTAAAAACATTACTGAAATAAGTGAGCTAACGGGTAATTTCAACTCAGTAGTTGAGAATAAAATGTTTCTTGTACTTAATGAACTCAAGAATGTTGGTGAAGATAGACTCGCAAACTTCAACGCTTTGAAATCAATTATTACGGATAATGAGATTAGAATTAATGAAAAGAATCAACCCAGAAGAACTGCTCAGAACGTTGCAAACTTTATTTTCGTAACTAACAACGTCTACCCTGTCAAAATTGAAGTTGGAGACAGAAGATATGTAGTTTTAAGGGTTAATGGTAAATTCAAGGGTCAATTTGATTACTTCAAGAATTTAATGGATTCATGCACAAAGGAATTTTATGATAATTTACTGACGTATTTTATGCAATATGACCTTTCATCATTTAATGTACGAATCATACCGATGACTGAAGCCAAACAAGATTTAATTGAATTATCATCAAATCCTTTAGATGTATGGATAAATACACATTATGATGAATTGTGTGCAGGTATGACGTGTGAAAATGCTCTATTCTGCAAACCATCAGACATGAAAGACAAAAACTTTCAAATGAGTATTAAGGATAAATGTGATAGGAAACATAGAAGAATAGACGGTAAACAAACATGGTGTTATGTTTTGAAAGAAGAAATGAAAGGATTATATAAACAGGTTGAACCAAACGATAATGAGGATTCATTTACTGACGATGAAATACCTGTAAATGAAGCTTTATAAAGTATGATTTGAATTTATTTTTGCATTAATCCTCCTGTGTTGTTGTCAAAATGTCATGTTGTCACACTTTTTCAGAAAAGTTAAATGACCTGGTAGCACATGGTAACATGGTAGCACCTTCAGTTCTTCAAAAATAAGTCATAACTGCCTTCCTCCTGTGTTGTTGTCAAAATGTCATGTTGTCTCATTTTTTCAGAAAAGTTAAATGACCTGGTAGCACATGGTAACATGGTAGCACCTTCAGTTCTTCAAAAATAAGTCATAACTACCTTCCTCCTGTGTTGTTGTCAAAATGTCATGTTGTCACACTTTTTCAGAAAAGTTAAATGACCTGGTAGCACATGGTAACATGGTAGCACCTTCAGTTCTTCAAAAATAAGTCATAACTACCTTCCTCCTGTGTTGTTGTCAAAATGTCATGTTGTCTCATTTTTTCAGAAAAGTTAAATGACCTGGTAGCACATGGTAACATGGTAGCACCTTCAGTTCTTCAAAAATAAGTCATAACTACCTTCCTCCTGTGTTGTTGTCAAAATGTCATGTTGTCTCATTTTTTCAGAAAAGTTAAATGACCTGGTAGCACATGGTAACATGGTAGCACCTTCAGTTCTTCAAAAATAAGTCATAACTACCTTCCTCCTGTGTTGTTGTCAAAATGTCATGTTGTCACACTTTTTCAGAAAAGTTAAATGACCTGGTAGCACATGGTAACATGGTAGCACCTTCAGTTCTTCAAAAATAAGTCATTATTGAATAACCTGTAAACATTAACGTAAACATTTATTTCTGCAGTTCATTCATTACTTCATTACCTAATTAATTACAAACATAAAATATATTTAGTTCATTCAATGAACGTGGTAAGCCTGCAAAGTAGGCTCAAGCACATTCAATAAATGCGGTACCATGCGAATACAGTCATAAATGGTGGCATATAATCTTTACCCAAGCCTGTTGGATTTGTTGTGAAAGTATGTGAATGATTTCCTCCTGGTTCAGTTGGTCGAAAAGTCTTTTTTGCTGAATGGTTATAATCTGGAGATAAAACGTCATTGCCAGCATAATATTCTGAGTTGTATAATGGATGGTCTCTTAATGAGTGACTATGGTCGCCAGAAAAGTTTGTAGTTCCTGTATGAGTGTGCGGGGGTAAGTTTGCTTCTTTAATTTTCTTCGAACCTCCTGTTTGCTTTGAAGAGTTCGCACAATAGAGGAATTTATCTACAATCTGTTCCCACGCACCAAAACCTAAAACTTTTGAAGGATTTGTTGAGTTCATTGACGTATAAATAGAACCAATGGGGTAAATCATCTCAAGAATTGTATTTAATCCATTATGAATATTGAATTTATTATATAATATTGAATTTTGGTGAGTATTTAAAACTGGTCTTGTTATCAATATTAACGTATTATTTTTGAAAATTGCTTTTCTAACATCTTGAAATTTTGTGATTTCAGACCAGTTTCTTCCATCACTACTGATATTTACTAAATCACCACATCCTAAAGCAATGAAATACCCATCAATATAAAATAAATTTGTAAATCTATAATTTCGAGTAAGTTTTGGAGTGAATGAATAAACCAATTCCCAATTTGATAAATCCTGTGATAAATAAATATGTCTGTTATAACTTACAGGATATGACTAGACCATTTCACCTGAAACGAGAACATAAACATTTGATCCATAACATAAAGCTTCAATGTCTCCATCAGCTTGAAAAATTTGTTCAAATTGACCTTGTGATATTGAAGATGATCTATAAATTTTATCATTTTGTAGGATAAAATACATGTTGTTAATGTAATACCACTTACTTGTATAATCAATTTTCAAATCTGATGACATCATACTAAACATATAATAATTTATCCCATCCTCACTAATGAAAATTTGATTGACTTCATAAATTAGTACCCATTTATTATTAACACATCTAATAGGATTATTTGGATATTTAAATTTAGCATCTTGATTTAAATTACATTTGAACCATTGGATACAATCGAATGAATAACAAGGGCAAAAATCATCTTCAACCGTTATCATTCCCATAAATTTACCGTTATTATATTCAACATATAAAATTATTGGATTAATGATTGGCTTTCGTGTATCAGGATTCAAAACAGATGGAGTAAATGATTCATAGTTTTTAAAATCATTTGTTTTAAAATAATAAAGCACCCCAGCTGTATAAAATAAATACATGGTCACTCCATCGAAGCATAACCATTCAAAAGAATCTATATCAAAGGTTTTATCTGATGATTTCATAAAATTTAAAAATGGTGGAGTAAAATAGACCTCTGATTGTTTTATTTCTTCATTAACATAAGTTTTATCTACCTTCTTCTCTAACTCACTGTTGACATATTCCTTATCTGCTTTCTTCTCTAACTCATCGTTAACATATTCCTTATCCGCTTTAAGGTCTAAACATCCTGAAACCCATCCTGTATCGGCTTTAGTTTTTAAAATCTTTGATGTCCATTCATGATACCATTCAACCATTTCTTTAATTTCATTATCTTTTTCGTTAACATATTCCTTATCTGCTTTCTTCATTAATTCACTAGCCATAAGTCCCTTATCTACCTTCTTCTCTAACTCACTGTTGACATATTCCTTATCTGCTTTCTTCTCTAACTCACTGTTGACATATTCCTTATCTGCTTTCTTCATTATGTCATTTAGGAAACCTTTTATGAATTCCTCATTTAAATTAAATCTTCCAATCTTCAAAACTTTAGGAAATGCATTTAATGCGTAATATCTCTGTTCTTCTGGTGGAATTGATGTTATATCATCCGTTATACCTTTAATTTTTGAATTCATAAATAAAATTTCTTTTATATTTGATATCACTGCACCACCCTTGCAAACGAATTCGAAATGGTCATTTTTCAATACTATCTCCAAATCTCCATATTTCAACCTTTGCGTTTGTTCTGCCGTCTTTGAATTATATGCATATGTGGCGTATGTAATGGTTTGAAGGGTCTTAAGTTGCTGTGGTTGCTGTTGTTTAATCATTTATTATGATTAAAAAATAAATATTTAATCTGTTATCTCATCACCTATTTTTTCTATTTGAAATTGCCATAATATTTCATTCATGAATTCTAAATCACAATCAAATAGGTCGGTTATTCTAAATTTAATATTTGATAAATCTTTTGAATGAAGAATAAATGAATTCCCGGATAATTGAAACGGATATGATAAAGAAAATATGTTTAAGTTGATGGATAAAATGTTTTGTATTGATGGGTAAGAGTTAGGGTCTAATGTTTGATGTGAAAATCTCATTGGGGTATTAACTTTATCACATTTGATTAAAATGAAATTGGAACCAGTGTCAGAATACAAAACATCCCCAACATCTTTTTCAAAATTTAATATCCCCAACAATGAACGAAGATGAGGAGTACAAAATTTAATTTTCAGCGGAATTTAATAAGGTTATTTATTTCATCAAGCTCAAAAAGTTTATCAGGTTTTGATTTAAAATTTTCTTCATACCATACGATAAATGATTCATTTAAATAACTTAAAATCATGTTAATATCCCATTTCGTTATCACATTATTTATATACATATCATACGTTTTTTCATGGTCATCTTTAATAAATGATATATAATCTGAAGGGTCTAAAAGAATGGGATTAAATTTACCACTCACAGAAACGAGAGTAACATTATAAATTCCGCTAACTGTTAAATTTAATTCACAGCTATTATTCGAAATAATATTGATAATTGACATTTTTATTACGATTAAAAATATGGTAAAGCGTTATTTTCCAGTGATAAATAAAACTAGAATAAGATTACCTCAAGAATTCATAAATTCAACGAATAAGAAATTCATTCATGTTATAAATTTTAGTGTTTTCAGAAAATATGAGTCAATGTCATATTCATCATCGGGTTATATTTCACTTCATTCAAATTTAGTTCAATCAAACCCATATAATGACCATTTCATAAGATTTTCAGATGGTATTAAAAATGTAATTGATAGATTAAAATATGAACAGATTGACAATATCGAATTTTTGGAATTTTGGTTTAAATATCCCGATGGAAAAAAGATTGAAGTTAAAGATAAAGCTGATACTATAACAAAAACAATTACAATGACCGATCCAGATAGTGGGGAACAAAAAGAAATAAAACAAACGATAGAAACTGGTGAAAGGTCAATTATTATTGATTATGATTCAAAGGATTATTATTCAATAATGTTAATGCTTGAATATTAAATAGCCTTAACAAAGAATTTTTCAAGTGATATTTTATATTCATCAACTATTTTATTATAAATATCATTATATGTTAAATGAAGTTCAGTTGTTGTTCCGTTTCTTTGATATCTTAATTGTGCTAATATCCTTTATAGGATTTATTTTTGCAACTGTTCCGCAGCATGAAACCTCATCATCTATGAAAAATTGAATCTTAACGTCTGAATCTTGAACATCACAAAGAATGGCGATAATGTGAATTAATGATTCATAAGGTAAAATAATTAAACCAGATTGGTCAATTAAATTTATTATTGAATCATAATTATTAATTATTATATCACGGTAAATTTTCATTAATTCAGAATTAATGTCTATTTTATATGGCGCATTGCGACTGGAATCGTAGATTCCTGGGTTCTCGATGTTTGATGAAAGAGGTGGGGGTATGTTGGATAAGTGGGAATTTCAACAGGTTCTTTACCGGGTTCAGATAAAATGATTGGGTCTCCATCTTCTTTATTTTGCTCCTCCTCCTTTTTCGGTAAGTCATGAGTTAATAAATTGGACTGAGTTGCTGACCTTGTTAATTCAGGGCTAACATTAACTTTAACATTTTGAATAATTCGTGATTTATCATCATTTACGTTATAACCAACCGTAATCTCTGCTTTTGCGTTAGTGTTCTTTTGACTTGTGAAACGTCTTCTCATTTATAATTGAATAAAAAAAAGAAAAATATATTTAAAGTTTTATTTAGTTGTTACGGTAATATCCCAAGGTTCATCATTGTTTGCTTATACTTTCTTTGTAACTGCACCAATTATGTTATTGATATTGCTTTGAGTTTCTTCCAGTCTTATTTTATCATTTACAATATCTTTAATCATTTCATTACATGCATTCTTAAAACCATCTGATTTTTCTAATTTACGTCTATCACTTTCTTTAATTAAATCAAAGTTATAACCTTGTTGAGAATAAAGTGGTTTCTTTATCAATTCCTTGAACGCTTCTGAAAGTGAAGATGAAGAAATTCTTGCCACTTGAATTGGTTTAAATTCTGCTTTCATTGCTTCTTTCTGTTCATTGAACACTGGATCGAATAAAGCAACTTTAAAGAATTTCTTAGCTGGAATTTCAGGTCTCAAATATGCATATTGACCATCAAACTGATTAACATATCGTGGTAATCCATCCGGTCCCTCTTCAATAGCATTTAATTCTTCATTGAAATAAGAATATGGATTATAACGGTATGAATTAATTGGACCATTTTCACCTTCTCCAATGTATTGTTTAACAGCTTTTCCATTTTCATCAAATTGCATAGGATAACGTTCATTATATGCTTTACGTTTAGGATAATCAGATACAGTTAATTTATAACCATTTATGACTTTAATATTACCTTGACCATCAGTAACGAAAACTTCATTTATACCATCAGGTTTTCCATTTGGTCTGTAATGTCTGCTTCATGTGCTTCCCAATTTGGTCCATGACGTTTGGCATATGCTTGAGCTTCTGGTAATGTTAAAACGTTTCTCATTTGTTTAACATCTTTTTGAAGACCGGCAACAATATGAACTAATTCTTTCATTCCATCTGGAACTTTCATAGTTCTATTATATGCACCCTTTTTGTTTGTCCCTTGTTTTAATGGAACCTGTAGAAGATTTGCTATTTCAGTCATGTTTAATTATAAATAAAAAAATAAAAATTAATTATAAAAAGTTAATCAAATTTAACACCTCCTTTATTTAAATCAACTATTATTTTTCCATGTTCACCTAATTGCTGATATTGTGTGTAAAGTTCATTAATGCTCATTGGTAAATTCACTTGATAAAGCATAACGTTCAACTGTTGACGACTAAAACCACTGAAAATGAAAAGTGTTGATAGATTTGATTTAATGTTTGTGCTTAATGCTTTGAAGTATTGAACAGCCATGAAGAATGAACACTGAATGTGTCGACATTGAGTTAATAATTGATTAAAATATGATTTCTCATTTGTTATTAGTTTTGATTTCACGGCATCATCTAGAAAAATTAGTGAATGCAAAAATTCTCTATCAAAATTTGAAATAGAAAGTGTTTCAAATAATTCATCCCGTTGTTTATCAATAATTTTATCCTCTAATCCTTGCTTCTTGATTGTATTATATAATTCTTTATACATTAAAAAGTTTTTTAAATAATCTTCTGCTTCTTCTTGTGATAAATAAATAATTGGAATTTTGATTAAATGCTTTAAAGATTCAAATGTATCATCTGAAGGTGAACCTGAACGGTTGATATAAATTAACACATGTGAATGGGGTGAAGTGTTAGCAATAATGATAATTTGTTTTAATATCGTTAACGTTTTACCTTTATTTTGTTTACCAATTGCTGCAGTGATTGAATTTAAGTAACATTCAGAATATGGAATTTTCATTAATTTTTCCTTAGATAGAGCATTTCTATTATCACTCAATGCTTCATTAATCATATCATCTACGTATGTATTATATACTCCTGCTAATTCTTCAGAATTTAAATCCATTTAATCAAAAATAAATTTATAATTTTAAACATTTCGATTCATCAATATTTCATCATATGAACTTCTATACTGTGGTGGTGTACCTGTTGGATGATATTTCAAACCTTCGTCCGGTGTCCATGTCCAATATGTAGTCCTAGTAAACCAAACCCGAGGAGGATTTGTCACCTTTGAACAGTAAGTGTCATTTTCACCCTGAATGATTGGATAAGCTTTCACTTGTACTGTAACTTGTGAATTGAAAGTTTCTAATCCATCAAAGAATATACCCGCTCCATCACGTTGAACTGGAATAGTGCATAAGAATGAAGTTTGGTCTTTCCATGTTCTAGCTAATGGCGTGCCATCATCATCATTCAGTGGTCTAGTTAATGAGTCCTCGTATTCTTCCGTGCATTCATTCACTCCATCTAAATCAGAAGCTTGAAGCATACGTGTAAAGAATATGTCACCCACTGTGGTCATCGCTTGATCGGGGAAGTTTCTGGAATCTATAGTGACCTGAAGACCTCGAAGCATTGGATTTTCTAAAACCGTTCTTTGCATTGCATTCTTTGGAAATGTTAACACAACATCTGTAACATTATGAAGAGCGTATGAGAAATCTGAGCTGATACCTTCAGGAGTGATGCAACCTCCATTTAGTGAACGAACGTCAATATGTTGAGCTGGAATCATGAATGGATCTTCCTTACTGAATAAACGTGGTATTGCTTTAACTGATTCTTCAATTAAACCGTATCCTGGTGTAATACATTTATCCTCTAAAACTTCCATCTTTGTGCATGAAATAATAACGCTATCAACTGTTGCGTCAGCAGATGTAGCGGCTAAGCTTGTAATTAATTTGGCAGGAAGTCCGATTTGTTGGAATTTGCGATCATATTTATAAACATGATTCATAATCTTTTCATAATTTTCATCAGTTATCTTTTCATAAACGTAATTTTGTAAATCAGCAACACTTAACGGGTCAACCTGACAAAATACTAAAGTATCCCTGAAAACATAATATTTAAGAATGATTTCACCAAATGATTTAGGATAATCATCGAACGCCTGAAATGCTAACAAATCATTTACCGGAATAATCATATCAAAAGTGATATCAACTTCTTCATTTGCTCTCTTGAAAACTTCTGAAGGGTCAATATATTTACCACATACTGAGTTATCATATTTTTGAACATTATTATATAACGAATGAACAAACTTTTTAACTTTCCTTTCTG